AGCCAAGGGGAGAATATGGGGATCGAAGGAGGAATTTTTGTTCCCACTTCCTGGGACGATGCCTTCGCTGGAATCCAGTTGTCGGCCCTGGAAATTGAACTGTAATCGAACCAACGATTATCCGCTGCTCGATGTATTCCCAGCGTTCATGGTCCGCCAGCTATCCCTGCTTTCGATAACCTCCAACACCTGCTAGATTCTGTTATCCTGACAGCGCACAAATCTATGCCTTTCTCAAGTTTCCCAATGTTATGACCGATTCTTTTTTCAAAACGAAACACGAGACGTCGCAGATTCTTACGGAGAAATTTGCATCGGTAAAATCGAGAGGAACACAGGTACGCGACTCGAAGAAGAGCGATGTGTCATATCGGGTTACGTTCAGTCAACTGTTGCTGACGACAAGAAACACCGGGACCGGAAGCGAAGGTTAATTTAAATCGAAACTCCCTAACGACGTCAACAGGGATTCGGGTTACCTGCTACATCCTATTCGAAGCACCCTTCTCCTATTTCTTTAATTGCTCAGTTGACCAATTAAAAGTGCCCTGATTGGTAAGCGATGAAGCGAAACGCGAGTTGCTGTCAGCTTGAACAAGCGAGTCACCCTAATAAACACACCGGTGTCAACTCGTCGTTACGACCCTCGCGGAAACTACCTGTCAGCCAAACTTAGAGTTCTCTTGAACTCGCCTTTGACACGAGACTCACGCCAAAGATTCCCGAAGTCGCTTGTGAATTATCCTAGTTCTTAATAGAAAAGAACGACTTAATTTGGCGAAGACGCTAGCCGTGAAGAGGATAGGGCCGAGGCCAGACGGTTTCGCGATGTGCCACGGTAAAAAGGTTTCGGCGAACCAAGAGTTCCGCACTCGCTCATCAAATATGAATAGGCGGAAAAGAATGGTGGATAAGGCTGGCGGCTGAAGGGGGTTAGGAAAGGGCAGGGTATAAAATATTTCCTGGCTCGCGAGTGCATCGCGTTTTCGCTCGGATACGACGGCTAGCACACAAGGCTAAAGAATTTCTACCGTGGATATCAACTGCGCACGTCTCGAGAAATTTCAGATCCAGCAGACTGCACGATCCACGGTTCCCACTGTCGCTGATAACGACGCGATTTTTATAAACGGACTCGCTTTCGTGAACACGGCCCGTTCCATTTCACGCTTCAAGGATGACAACGTTTGCATTTTACCGTTCCGCGTTGTTCTTCCCGGAGTGGAGCGTTTTGTCGCGATTTTGAATTAGGAATGCGTAGTCGATTCGTGCCCGGGAACAACGGGTCGATGACACGTAAGGGGATTAAGAGTCGCAGAGAACCGTCGAGGAATCGGGGATATACATCCGCCTAGTCGTGAACGATACCACGGTCAGGGGTGGAAATATTTTTATTACCCGCGTCGATAAACGTGTTCCACCGAATGCGTTCATTTATGAAATATCGACCAAGTCTTGGGAATCAATTCGAGGGGTTACCACTCTTCGAGGTACCCGAGGCAAATGCGGTGTACGGCTGCTGAAGAATCCCGGTTTATGGCGCTATCCATCGATAAAGTAATTTTATTCCCCGCCAACGCGTTCCTCATCTTCGATCCTCCGTTGAAATATCGAATTTACGAGATGGCGATCGACGGCACGTCGATTTAATCAATCGGGACCGTCTTTAAATGCGAAACCTGCCTGTAGCCGCGTCTCATTCGCCGAACAATCCGAAACTTTCTACTCGCGTTGATCTCTTTCATAGTCGAAGAACACCGAGCTTATTAAGAAAGAAGATCCGCCGTCTGCCGGCGTGAACGAACGATTTTTCTCCCAGCAATAACGCTGATCCCGAATGTCCGCTTTATTTACGACTGGCGAACAGGGAAGCGACACACATTACTCACGCCGCGTCAAGGAGAAGCGTTCGGGGAACGGCATGACCGAGAGGAAAGAACGCGCAGCGAGAAACAAGGGGTCGGGCAGGAACGGAGGAGATGCTGGTGGTGGTGGTGGTGGTGGTGGTGGTGGTGGTAGCTGGAGAAACAGGGATCACGGGAGGGTGGTACCAGAGAGGAAAGGTAGAATAGGAGGAAACGTAGGAAATCGGTGCAACCGGAGATAGCGGGCTCTCAGGATAGCCTGGCGCGAGAACGAACGAAGGAACGAACGAACGTAGGAAGGTGGGAAAGAAGTAGCGGAGGCTTACATTTCCCACGGGGTATCCCTGCTTGCTCGCAGACTCCTTACTTACGGATTGATACTCAATTTCCAGCGAGTTTAGCCCCTATCGAGGGATCGTTGCGCCTGATCGCGGCGGCTCCTTTCGATTTCAAATAAATTCGATAATGGCGGATATATAGGCGGCGCGGAGGGGGTTGCTTGCTGTAGCACACTCCAACAGGGATATAGAAAGGGATTTCTCCATCGTCTTTACCTTAATCGACAGGGTTAAGGCGGGAAGACCTCGTCTGGCTTGTCGATGGATCTTCGACCCACGATGGACGGTTCGCGAGCCACCAGGGGTATCTCGGCCTTCTCGCTCCACGTTCCCACTTGAACTTTTCGATGGAGAATCGGTGAGAAATCGTGGAAAATAGTGGAAAATCGTGGAAGATCGTAAAACCGAAAATCGGAGAGTTCGCGTAAGCGCAACGCGATGACCGACGCTAATTACTCGCCACTGTCGAAACTGTATCGCGACGGTCCGCGACGCTCGCGCGAGGCGGGTGTAATAAATGCACGCTGGTGACCGGTCGAAAGGTAACACCGTCCTCTGCGATATTACTCACCGCCATTAAATATCGCGTTTCACGCGGCCGGATTTCGGCAATAACGATAATGAAACCAACGGGAACAACCGTGGCCGGCAACGAAGCTTTTTCTAACGATCGCGAGCTCGTTTCGACGAGCTTGTTATCAGGCCCGCGGCTCATAACGAGCGTCCCCCAATTCGCCTGGTTTCCGTGGCCGCTCCAAGGGGCTCGGTTAATTATAAACCGTGAATTAACCGACCCACGTAAAGAAGTGCCAAGTGCAAACGACGATCTCGCGATACCGGCACGATGCAACGATTCCGGCAATTACCGCGAATTATATTAACCAGCTTGCCACCCTTCCTCTTCGTTTCGTGCCACCGTTCACCACGGCCCGTACAGGTGAATCTTGCCTGTGTAGGTGGCCTGCACGAGTTGCACGAGAGGCCTGTTGTTCTAGCGGCGGAACTCGCGTGAAACTAATTTCCAACGACGAGACAGGAATTGATTTTATTAGGAGCGCGAGACAGCGTGGCCAAGTTTTCCGCTGCAGCAAGTTCGTTTTAAGAGATGTCGCATTGGTAATCGCGTACAGGTGATTCTCTGATGGAGGAAAGCGACGAGGATGGCGCTCGTTTCTTTCGGTAGGGTCAAGTAGTACGGGACGACGAGTAGTCAGTCACTCGGGAGGAGTGTCTAGATCTGTCGGCGTTACGAGAGGCGGTTGATTTATTCTCCCGATCGAGTGTTAGGTGTTTTTAATGCGCGTTCAGTCTCGAGGGCTGAACCTGACGAATTTACGACACACGAGCACTTTCTGGCCCCGAGGACGGGCTAGGAAATTTATGACCCTTGCCCGAAAACATCCAGGTCTAGGGCAAGCGTGCACATTTCTTTCGGGAGGATGCCTCTGAGAACGGGAAACGTCATAGATTGGCAGTTTCTCGTTAACAAATTCTGCCCGCGATTCGGGAAATCCATCGCATCGTCGTGAGCGAGTTCAGGGAACTTTATAACCCTGCGAAATTTGAAATTTGCAAGGTGGATTTTACGGGACACGACGGTGCGTTGGAGAAAAATGCTAGACGAAAAGGAAGACGGGAAAGAAGCAAGGCAAAGCACAACGTTTCGCTGCGGAGCTTAAACTATCTCGAGCTTGATAAACGTCCGACATGACAGATGATTCGATTCGTCTTCTTATCAGCCATAACGGGCTCGAGTCAACAATATATCACTCCATTCAAAAACTATCCGACGATATTAAAATCTCGAGCCTCTCCATCACGCTGACCCCTCCCACTGGCGTCTGAACAAACCGTTCCAGCTCCACTTGACAGACTAATCGGAATCACTGGAGACGTTCGCCCTGGAACGGGCCACTGCCATAGGTGCAACAAGCGGCGCGAGACAGAGCGTATTTGCATCGATTAGAGGAGGAGGAGCGGAGAACGCGAGACGATTTTGTCGGAGTGGGAAGAATCGGGCTTCATTACCGGGTAAAAGCAGCTCGACCGCGGATTTTCGTCGATGACAGTTGCCAGCCGGCGTGCATATCCAGAGTCGCGTCCCATTCCAGTAGCCGCCATGAAGCAGCTCCGTTTCCGCGTTTTCGCACGTCGAATATCAAAGTCGACGATACCGGGAACATCACGCGTCGAAATAGCGAGAATGGACACGCGACGTCGAGTAGATTCGCGCTTGAAAGCTTGGCGAGCAAACGAATTCGCCTGTGGGAAGAGCTTCGTGATGGAATATTTCGTGCCATTTTGGGAATAATTGCGACGAGTAGAGATTCTTCTTCGTCCACGGCTAGGCCGAAATTCGATACTTTGCCAAATATAGCTAGCCGTGACTGAAATTTGACGTTCTGTCGAAACAAAATGAAATCGAATTTCAATTATTCACTGAATTTAAGTGACGATGTAGAGGTCAAGAAACGGGCGAAGATTCGCGTTCATCGCTGCGATTTAGTTTATAAATAATAAACGAGAACTGCATTGTTTCAAAATTGTTTCACTTAATTACTCGCCATTCGGACTACGTGTTCCCGTGAAATATAAATTCCAAGCTGATGAGAGTATTTAAGGATTAATCTATTACTCTTGCTTCTCGTGCATTAGCAAACGCGATTAATAATGTAACGAGGTCGAATATCACTTGACCTACTCATGACCGAAATGCGATACAATCATAACGCAGGGATTAGAGGGTCTTAAGTGGCGTATCGGTAAACGCGATAAATATGAATGTCGGGGAACTTACCGAACTAAATCCCATGACTTTGAGCAGCCACACGGTGAGCGCGAGATTCAGGATCGCGATCACCATCAAAGTGAGCACCACAGAGTACAAACACCTTTTCCTCCAACCGTAAACCCCTAACCTGAATCCACCTTTACAGGACGCGGTGCCGGAAGTGCGGTCCTCGAGGATCGGAGGGGTCGTCCTCGACGATGGTCCCGCCGACTGTCGCACGTTTCGACCGCCAGTCGACGTGCACGGCTCATCCGACCAGCCTGCCTGCCCTCGAGACATCCTGAAAACACAAACGAGTTAGCTGAAACATCGTCCCTTTTCGCCGGACGAGTTTTGATATGGTAAACACGAGAGACGTCGCTCCCCAGGAAACACCCGTGCCTCACCTACCGGATTTTCGGTGAGTAAACGAAACGTGAATTATACTTCTCTTCTTTTCGATAATTAATTCCGACGTTCACGTTGCATCGTGGACCGAAAATGCATAGTAAGTTTACAACGACAACGTTACGCTATGGTAATTTTATTCCAAGCCCGAGTGCGTCGAAATTTCGTACGTCCCTTAAAACGGTATCAACAGATGGTCAGGGATACTTAAACAATGACGCATAGTCGGGGGGTAAAAAGGTAGGAAAAAAGCCGAAACTCTAAAGCATAATAGCCGGCGATTAATAAGCCCGTAATTACCGGGTCATTCTTTCCCGATGATTTATCAACGATTTATGCCCCGCTCTCGCACACCGGCTGCGGGAAATTGGCCATGGGCGGGCATAGAAACAGAAGCGGGGAGAAGACTGATCTCCGGTTCTTACTTCTTGAAACACGAGCCTTCCTTTATACGTGCCTGGCGTCCAAACATCCTCCCGCTCCGCGGAGTCCATTTTGCAGCGGCGCAGCCCGGGGAACACGCGTTTCCTTTTTCTCTACCCTTCAGCGCCGATTCCACCCTCGGCACGGACAGCTACGGATTTTGCGCCGCGGCAAAAAGTTCGATCGTGCGAAGCGTCGCGGGTAAAGAAACCGCTGAATCCGAAATTAGCGTGGCAAATAGGGGAGAGCCGGCTTTGCCGGTGTACAAAATGGCGTGGCGGCGGACCGGAGGATTATCAAATGGCAGATAATTAACGGCGGTCGAGGCGGTCGCTGGCTCGCGTGCGCGCGCGCGCGTGGCCGCGTGAAAAATGAACGAGCGTCGGAGGAGCCTCGTGGACGATTAAAAGGGGACACGGAAAGGGGTGAAAAAGGAGAAGCGGCCGCGGTGGGACGGTGCACGAGGGATGGGAAATGTTAAGGGGAAAAGGAACGTGGGAACTTATGTAAATCTGACTGTGAAATAGCGGACGTAACTCCGCGCCCTAATCTCTCGGTTGCTGGTCGGCTGACTCGAACGAATCGTCTTTTACTCGCGCTTTCTTGCGCTTCGCCACCGTTGGCATCGCGTCTCCTGCGCGCTTTTTCGGTACGCGCGGCCTCGGGATGTTCGTTTTTGCTTCACCGCGTCCCGCGTGTACCGTGGACGAGGAACGCCGAGAGGGAAGGAAAACACCGCGGGACAAACGAGCCCAACCGGCGAAATAAAACGAAGACGGACGGATAGAGACGCTGGCACAGAGGGAAAATGGCGCGAGGGAGGGACGGAAGAAGAGAGAAAGCAAGAGTGGAGCATGAGCTAAAATATTCAATGCTACCCCTTCGCCTTCTTGCGGATAATTATACCTCTCGTAGATATAAAGAGCTCGGTCGCTCGAAATTAAAAGCTCCGAAGATAAGCCCCCGCGGGGGAAGAGAGCCGCGCTAGCTTGCTTTTCACCACTAGAAAGTGCACGATTTTCAGCAAGGGAACAGTCAGAAACAGGGCTGGCGAGGGAGAGGGTGAAAGAGAGAGAGAGAGAGAGAGAGAGAGAGAGAGAGGGAGGGCGAGACGAAGGAAGACGAAGCGAGAGAAAGGGGTGGTGGGTTAGTTGACGATTATAGGTACGCCGCCACAGCTGCACGCCTCATCGAAGATTGTATTTAACGAAGGTCTTTAATCTGGCGCGGTTTTTCGGATTCCGGGCGCGATTTTCGATATTAATTTCTGCCGCCGGCACCCCGTTCCCAGCCGCCGTAAACAAAACGCGGCCACACGGAAGTAAGCGACTGGAAGGCTTGACATTCTAATTACCGGGGATCCGTGTGCTCTCGCGGAATATTCGGGAACTCGTGAACGGCCATTAGGAACGAACGAGCGTCTCTCGAATTTATTATCCCGCGATCCCGATCTTTCCCCCGTTAAATATATCGCGCAAGAATTATCGGATATTTTAAACGTTGCTCGTAAAGTTTTTAAAAGCCTTCGCTCGTTAACCAAAGTTAAAATCATTCCGACGATTTCGAGCCCCCTTTCCTACCGTTATCAACACGCGTATTGAATTAATCTAATCCTCGTTACCCGTGTTCCACCTACGGTTCAGAGTGCTCCGCCTCGTCCAGCTATATAAACCGGTGTGCACGCGTTTCCCTTTTAAAACCACGGAAACATAATCGCGGAAGCACGTTCCGAGCGAGCAGACCGATCGTTTCTTGCCCCCGTAAAACCGGCAGGAATATTTAAAGTCGCATCGAACGTCGCTGCGGGGGTAGTTTCGCGCGCATTCGAAAGTCGTTACGCGGGCGCAGGGTGAACCAGGACGCAGTTGCAGGGATTCAGGTTCAAGGGGCAATTACAAAGCGGAAATATACGTCGGATCATAAATAGCGTCGGACGTATGTTAAACGGGCGGCTGGAACTTTTGACGTAACGCGAAGTTAGCGGCGGCCACCGCCATAATTTCACGGTTTCAAGCCCAAAGAGCATTACAAGTTGCGAAATTATCACTGTACTAACGTACGAGCGTGTTACACGTTTTTTCCTCACCGTCTCGTCCGCTCGTGCACCCTTCCTTCTCGCTTGCCACGGACCCTCCGGCCCCGCGTCCTCGTACCAACTTCCGTGATAAATAGCGTTTTGTTTAAAACGTATTAAACGAGTGGCCGACTGCCTACGCGCTATAGCGACCCCTCGGCTGCAATTCTGGACACGCATCTCTAATGCGGGACACGAAGATGAGAATCTTGAAGGAAAAAGGGGGGCACGTTTCGCGAAACGAACGTCGAATCGCGATACCCCCGCGCGAATTGCGGTATCGATGAAGGAAGATACGCATTCGAAGCATATTTTAACGGGCACCGATGGTTAATCGTGGATCGTGATTTGAACGGAAAATAGAAATGTTTTCGCATTTGTCACCGAGCTTGATCGATAGCGATGACTGCATTAACCCGAGTACCCGTTTCGCGAGTCTTTTCACTATCGGTGTAATTTTTCAATCGTCGTCTGAACGCTGATTTACGAGGCAAACGTCGGTAAACGATTGCCCGTCGCAATTTGAAACGGTAATAGATTATCGGGATAAGAATAATAATAAATATTTAAAACAGTGGATCGGGTCGGGCGAAATGGATCATCGCGCTTCATTCTCGAAGAGTCGAACGACTCGTCGTCGGTCGTCGTGGATATTAGACTAGTTACTCGCGAGCCATTCCGTGCGGAAACGACCACTGGAGGGAGCATCGTATCGTGAGTTATTATTTAACATTCCGTCGGATGCGAATAACAAATGTTCGAAACAGAATAAAGTATGCATCTCGCTAAATTCCAGCGACGGGAGTCTGTACAGTTTGAATTTACGATATCCGTGCCGTAAGTTTAAGAATGCAATGCATATCAATTGTACGAAATGCCGGGCTTCTCCACACATTCATCGCGAACGCCGCGAAACGATTTTTCCCAAGAATATCATCGGGCCATCGCCTCGCTATCCGAAGCCTTTACAGAACAGGCTGGTAAGTTTCGCGATTAACATGTACCGGCGTATATAACGCGGGCAGGAAGTTGGCCGAAACGCGGCCGGAGGAGAATAATTGCTGCTCGTGGAAAATTCGAAAGGCTACTTGACTCCATCCGAAAGGTCAATCTTCCCGGAAACTCGTTGAAACTGGGATAGCACAATGGAGGCAGCTTGGCCGATTACGATCGACAGAATTCCTTTGGACGGCTGGCGTGGCCCGAATAGGAGCAACGATCACGCTCCGAGGGAATCTCGGGCATCCGCAGACCCTCTGGAAACTATTAGTTGGAACGTTCGTTGTCGCGAAACATGCGAAAAGGAGCTTCGAATATCTCGGCGAATAATTCGCCCACGCGAAACGTCTTTTCGCGGTTCTGTCGGCCCGTCTCATGGAAAGAAGGTAATCCATCGTTCTTATTTATCGTCTTTGAATGCGAAACGAGAAATAGTACACTCGCTGCGCTCGAGAATGGGGCGAGTTTCCGGAAGAGGAATTACAGATACATTTTTCCGACGAGAGATCCTTAAAAGGATCGTGGAATTAGGATGATCTTTGCGTATACACGGGAAAGATTCCTCTGAACCAGATTCGGGGAAACAAATTGGTTCGGTTCGCTTCGTCATTTTTCTTCTACGCGTTGGGTAGCTAATATTCTTATCACCGTGGCGCAGGGATTAACTCAGAGCCGCTGCGATTTGCTTAGAAATCCCGCAGCTTGGTTTTTAATTTACCCCGCGACGTTGAAAACGAGGAATCGTTCGCGAAATCCCACGAGCTGACGATCAATCGACGAAGCAAGAATCGGAATCTTCGATGTTATTTTCGCTGAAACCTCGACGTATAAGCGCCACTGTGGTCGTCGCGTTACGGCGAAAAGGGCAGGAACAGGGGGTGGGTTCGGGAGCATACGGGTTAATTATTCTTCCTGGCGGCGCTATTGCCGGAAAGCCGACGGCTTATCGGGTGGTTAGTCGAAAACCGCAGCTCTGCGGCGCTTCAGCGTGGTCTGAGCGGCGCAAAGGGGTGGATTCAAGGCGCGTTCGAAACACAAGGGGGTGACGTCGGCGAAGGTCGTCCTGGCTCGACGTCGCAGCCCTGCTGGGCGTGCTATTGCCTCCAGTCAAACATAGTTTAACGCGAATTGCCGCTAATAAAGACTCATCCGTCATGGCATCCGCGAACAGGCCCCCCGCGCCACCCCTTCGAGTGTGCTCCCTTTCTTTGCGCCCCCGCCTTTTCCGTTCCCTTCCCGCGTCCTCTTGCACCTTCTTTCTCCCGGCTATTCTTACCCAGGCAGGACAGCGCGGAAATTGCTCGGCAATTTCCATGAAAAATGCCAGAGGTTTACAGTACGACCGCAACGAACCGCCGCGCAGCCTGTCCTCGTCTAGTTTGCCGCGGAAATTACGCTACCTTCCTTTCTTCCTACTCTTTTTCACCGTCTATCTGCCGGCAGTTCCCTCGCCCTTCCAATTTCACCGCATCGGCCAGTTTATTGAA